GAAAGGTAAGTGCCCCTTGTATTATATGGAGCATGATAACTTCTGACTTCTAACTTTTTGCTCACCACGTGATGGTTCATTACTGTAGGGCTGCTTACGTATGCTGAATGGCCAACTCCAACTTTAAAGGAAACAGCACTGAAATACTTACTACCCACATGTGCTTTTTCACAGACACACACGTGATCTCCTCTCGTCACATACATATGGGTAATTGCTTTGTTAGAACATACAGCTTAAGACTGTAAATCAAGATGGTCTAAATTAGAGAGTGCAGCTCATGGGCTGGTTGCCAGGCACTAGAGCAGGAGCAGGTGTTGCGTGCCAGCCCTTCACACACAGCTCCCTCAGCTCTGTTCCTTGGATCTTTGACCCATGTGGAGTTTGCACGCATATGCAGAAGAAAGGATATTCAAATTCAGGTTATCCCAACACTAACATTACCATTTTAAGGGAACCAACCTCCTGTACCCCAACACATCAATCTCTGTTGTCTCATCATGCTGCTGGTAGTCTAACACAGAACTGGAATATATTGTCTTCATGCTCTCCCTTAATCAAGTCCCAAGAATCCTTGGAGGAAACCCTCTGTTACAGATCTGAACCCAGGAAATCACGCTGCTTACTGAGATGCAATCAAACACATAGGAAAGCTCCGAGTATTTGCATAGCTTCATGTTAACATGAGGAAGCCGTATGCTCCAGATACAGCCACAAAACTGCAGAAGGCAAAGCCAAGCCATAGCTGCTTGACTAGTGCTTGTAGGACGGCATACGATGGACACAAGCTCTCAACAGGGGCGAGAATAATCTCATGCACAGGATTTGTTTGCTACTAATGCATGCAAATATCTGATTGCGCCGAGGCATCGCAGCCTCTCCGACAGCTCTTGAGTGTGTGCATGAGCAACTCGGATAATAGCTCGCACAAGTGAGGTGCACTGGCAGTTAAGCACAAGCAACCATTGGCATGCTAGTCTGAAGATGAAAAGCCAGCTTGTCACATATTGAAACCATCTGTAAATCCAGTGGATTTGCCAAAATGACAATTTATGCTGGTTCAATATTTCTGAAATTATTCTTATTCTTTAGCATGCAGAGGAAAATTAAGTCACATTTTCCTTAACAATTGCTGTTCCCGCCTTGCTGTGCATCACAGCCCTCTGGGGTGACTTTGGTAGCACTGACCTTGGTCGTCGCTGCAGTGGCATTACTTTCCTTACCACTCCCAGGTGCACTCTCCTCGATCGCTGCCGCTGCTGGGGCTTCTGCCTTCTTTGCACTTGTTTCCAGAGAAATAGGAGGCCCTACTTTCCCCGACCCACTCATGGGGGTTGAGCTTGGACTGCTTGGTTGCCGCGACTGAGCCTTATACCAGCTAGGGTAAAACAAGGGATCGATGCTTTCTGCTGTGGCCGGCACTTGAGTGTCAGACTCTGGGGTCTGTTGAGAACCACTTGGTGTCACCACCTCATCCTTAATCAGGACAGATAAAGAGAAGAACAAGCAGAGTGCACCACGTTACCTTCCTGCCGTAACCATGTTGCTCTGCATGCCGTGTTTGTTATATCTCACTGCAAGGAATAGATTTGTCCTAATAATATCATCTGAAAGAATTACAGTCAAAATGTGAAGCAAAAGTAACTATCATTTGAAGGACACAGATATGGGAAAGAAAGTAAGATACCCCAAAAATAGAATAGGAGGGTAGAATTAGCTTTGAAGGGGATGCTGACTGAGAAAGGAGTGAGCAAGTGGTTCTTAATTCAGATAAACCCTGATTCAATCCAAAAAATATAAGAAATTCTGCATAAGAGCCTCATGAACCGGTACCAGCCATGAATGACAGGTGTAGGCACCTTCGAAAGGCTTGTTGGGTTTTGGTAAGAACAACACATTTGCCAATGAGTCTGTTGATATGAGCAGTCAGAATAAAGGGAATACAAAGACATTGGAGAGAAAAATTTGCCCCCCAGCCTTGCTATCAATGCTATAAGCCAAACACAGTTGCTCTGCCAGGAAGAGGAGCAGGCGGCTGAACTGCACCTCTACCTGCAATGAGCTCTCCAGGCTCACCCACACGGTACCCGCTGTCACACAGCACTTCTGCTTTGCCTTTCTTATGCTAGAAGACAAAAGCTGAAATACAGGTATCCCACACACTGCAACACCCACATGCCATGTCTGACTCCCTGTCTGATCATCTCCTACTGGCATATTACAATTCCTACAGCAGCATGCCTCACCTTTCCCATTGTAGCTTTAGAAGTGAGGGACTTCGTGTTAGTAGGCAGAATTGCTTATGTCTAGTTCTTGTTTGCATAAAAACCCACATCAGTTAGGTGACATAAGTTTAGTTAAGTCAGTGTGAATCCTCAAAAGACAAACTTTGGTTAAATAAACAAAGCCTGATCTAACAGCACCTTCACACAACTGATGCAAACTCGTGTATGTTTTTAAATCAAAGCAATAATCAATCTACAGCATTTATTTCCCCTTGTTTTATGCAAGGAGCTTGCTACAGTCAAAGATTGTTTATGCGCTCTCTTGTTTTCACACTGGCCTCCTCAAATACTGTCACAGCAGCCTTTACCTGCTCAGAAACTTCCCTGGGTATATCTCGTAAGAGAAGAATTTGCTAAGTTAATTGTATGTAAGGCCTGCTAAAGCAGCACTTGAAGTATATTTGTTTATGTTCTCTTTCTAATCGCATTCCTTAAGAAAAAGTGCTGGCCTAAATTATTCACACTCTGAATCTGTTTGCTGCTAGGTTGTAAGAGGCAGCTTCCTCTGCTGTTTGGTTCATGATATCCCTACATCCACCTAGAAGATATCCCTAGGATGACCAGAACAGAAGGCAGCAAATGCCATTCACAGAAAACAGATTAGAAGTATGACCTAAATATTGGTGATGGAAAGTTCTCTAGAATCAGAGGGAATGCCAAATTCTCTTACTATAAATATTTAACAACAATTTCATTTATAATCGTTAGTCTGAGTTAAATCACAGCAAGCACAACATCCATTGTAATGTGCTTAACTCTCAAACTCTTTTATTTATGTCTTATGTATCCCATATATATCTCAATTTATCTAGCAGCATAATTTTTTGCGCACCAAGCGATATATATGCAGGCCAAGAGGACAGGCTACAGTTGTGTATATGTGTACAACAGCAATAAACAATTTTGCTCTCCAGTGCATCGACTCCCCTCGCCATGCTCCTGACATATGGTGCCTACAGGCCACAGAGGAGCGTTTCCGTGCTCTGCCGGGTGCACTCAGAGTAGCTGGCAGGGTAGCAGGGCACCAGTGGCACTTACCTGACCAGCCGGTTCAGTCAGGGGCTCTCCCGCTGTGCTCTGCGGTTCGGGGTCCTGCTGAGGTAGCTGTGATGCGCTCTGCGGTTCGGGGTCCTGCTGAGGTAGTTGTGATGCTCTCTCAGCCCCTTCCTCCTCCACCTCTTCCTCCTCCTCCTCTCCTGATGACTCCGTGTGGACTTCATCCAAATCTTCACCACCCACCGTCTCCTCCTCTTCCTCTGCTCCCTCCTCCTCTGATAGGACACGCGTAAAAGGACAGGGCTGAGCACCATGTGAAGATGGCTATGGTCTTTATGCAATTAGAAAGCCTCTTACAATTGCATGGCAAAGCTACTGACAATCTGCTGCCTGGCAGAGAACGCAAGCTGGGGAAAGGGTATTGGTGAGGAGCCTGCTCCCACCAGCCTGGACTGTTCACTGCCATGGAGCTGCCAGCAGGTGCTTCGCAGCAGGGAGGTCACTGAACACACACACTTGTTAAAATCTTAAGATGGCCCTTCCCATGGAAAGGAGGACTCCATACCATGGAGTTAGCCTCATGAGGGAGGTGTAGCATGGCCCTGCACTTGTTTTGGGAGAGGATATCTGGTGTGGCACAATCTGTCAGGAAAAAAGTCCCTCTTGCAATTTTAGGTATACGTGCGTTTTAATCATCATTGAAGCCATCATAATAAATCTTTACCAGGTCAGTGCTTTGCAGTACATGTCTGGAGGTCTAGGATACCAACCTCCCTAAAACCAGACTGTCAAACTTGGTCAAACCATTGCTTTTGCATCATCTGACACATTCTGTTGTCAGCATTTGTGGCTCGTCTCGTTTCCAGAGGGAGCCCTCTAACAGTGCGCTTTCTTTCACATAATCACGCTGTTCATCCTCATAAATGTTGGATGTTGTTCAGAGCCATACCAGCACTTTAGAGAAATGAGCTTAGATGGAAGCACTAACCCAAGCTCCAGATTGGCTCCGCATTTTGCATAGGTTATGGTTCTGCCTGAGTATGCAGAAGGAGTGTAGGCCTGAAAATTAAGTAATGCCTTCAGAACGGAGAAATGTTTCTGCAGACGAATACACTCTTATAAGCAAAATGCTGAATCCGCGGGCTGCAGAGGACCTCACTGACTGTAGTAGGAGTTTCAAATGCAGGATTGAACTCTGGGTTGCCAAAGCCCTTGCTAATGCCTCGTCTCCAGGGGATGGGTGTCACATTCCCTGTCACATGGTAGAGGGGTGTGCCCGGAGCACAAGGTCACGATCTTGGCAGATGCACGTGTGTGGCAGGGATGTGGCAGCTGTGGATGATCACAGGGACGAACTGGGTGTGAGGCTGTGACTAGGGATCGTCCCTCCCAGGACAAATCCCTGGAGGTTCATGACCCTGCGAGATGACTGCTACTCCTCTGCTACTGACTGATGCCACAGCTGCTGCCCCACTACATGGACCTCTGTGCCAGGTACAGCTAGTCCATGGATCCCAACCTACGGACTGCACAGCAGGCATGCAAGGTCCTTCGCAGGGAGCCTCCGCATGCGCCGAAGTTAGTCTAAGTTGTGGCAGGTGGGTAAGCAACGAGTGGCATCTGCAGGAGACTTAACTGGGCTGACAAAGGTAAATGTAAATGTACTAGCAGGATCCAGTGCCAGCAAGAAAATCAGAGATATCCAGATGACTACTACTGCTGCCTTTTAATAGGAGAGATCTGCTTTTTTTAAACACTTATCTCCATTAACTTCTTGTGGCTCACTCTGTAAAGTAAAGCATAGGCCAGCCTAGATTTCAGGCTACTTTGGTAAATGTAGAATTACGAATTTGCATTATTAAATAGACGTATTCAGCATGTTTAGTCATGATGTCATGACAAATGACGTGATACAAGATGTTAAATGCATGAAAGATGATGATTTTTACTTCCCTCTATAGCTCTGTGATCTTGAATGTCAATTATGTTTCTGATATATTTCTTGATTATTATTAAAAAAGTTTAAAAAATAGTTTTCCTAATTACTTCTTTTAGTAGCAAACATTCTATTTCTTTAAATACTTTCTAGAGCAGACAGGCCATACAACAACAGCACCTTTTAGGGAAAAAAGGACTTCACATACTGAGATAAAAGCTTAATTTTGTCGTCCCTTCACACGAGAAGTCAGTAAAGATCATGGGTTTAGGAAAGTGTTGAGGCCACACAAAAAATAAGATTAATGATCTAGTTAGACTTTGGGATGGAAAGAAATATCTGATTCAGGTTTTCCTACTCAGTATCATCATGTAAATTACACACAGCTGCAATTTAAGAAAGTAATTTAGTTGAAATAAATGGCATACCTCTGTCAAAATCAATTTCTCGTATTATCTTTTCTTCTCTACTGAGGTTCACTGTGAATTGGTTCATATTTTCATACCCATCCTCTATTTTTTCCATTTGAAATCCTTTAGATGCTTCAGTAATTCTAAAACAGAGAGACTGGTTATTGGTATTTGGATTTGCAGATAAATTTGTAATTTGTAACTCATTAAAGACCAAGAGTCTCAAGTTTAAATACTCACTTTTGTAGCAATGTTTTGGCATTCTGTGAAAACAAAAAGAAAACAGATTTCTTAAATGATTCCATTTTTGTCAGAGATTTTATGCATTGAGATCTAATTCTTACACTGGCTTCTTCTAAACGCACTAATCTGGATCCCATAAATGACAACCATGAGACAAATGAATGAGATAAAATTTGGATGGTAATTAGTATACATCTGAGTAAACCTTTTAGTTCATCAAAGACTTTTAAATTAAAACCTGAATGTGATGGGAAATACATACAATTTCTAGAAAAATGAAATGGAAATATTTCTGCTCTTTTTTTTGTGTGTGTTTGTAGTGAAAGGCAATTGATCCGCTACCGTCTTCAGTGACACTAACTATATCTTCGACTATCCATAAGGCCATACTTCTGGGCCCACAAAATTTTATTTGTCTGGAGAGAATATTGTGCTCTTCAAAGGCAATTCTTCGATGAAAATTAGGTGGTGGTTGGGTTTTTTGTTTGTTTGTTTGTTTTTGGTTGGTTGGTTGGTTGGTTGTGGTTTTTTTGTAGAAAACACCCTTCCAGCCTTAATATAGAGGAATTGTAAACTTGCAAGACACCAATGAGTTCAGTGGACAGGCTGCTAATGGTTTCCTAATTGGCTCTCCTAAGTTTATAGTAAGAAAATAGAAGAAAAAAAAGAAGTAAAGGCATAAAAATTTGACTTTGGACAATTATTTAATTCTTGGAAAGTTAATCAGTCTGTCAGTATGCAAATGAAACCTATAACTCAGAGAGGTTCATATACACATCTATTACAGTGGTAACGCAATAAAGGTATGATGGAAAATGTTAAAATTCTTGTTTCTTCTTTGGAGACCAGAAATTCATACACAGGATAGTATATTTTGGGGCAAATAGCAAATACTCACATTCTTGGTTTGGATACTATTCACAAGAAGACTACTAATTTGTCTGTGCTGATGCAAGTGTTTAAAAAAATGAGTTTGTATAACTGTTCACTCAAAGATGACAAAACTCTGAATGTGCCTAAAATTAAGAAACGCTTAAATAGTATTTAAATAAACCCATCATTCTTTTTCTCTCTCTGTTCATAGACTTTATACCTGCAAAAACACGGCCATTTCTGGTTCTTCCATGAACTGGATTCCTGATTCAACCAGCTTTGATACAGCTTCCAAATGGTCCGCATACTTCTTCATCAGGGAGCGGACGTGTTCCAGTTTCTCCTCTTGGGTTCTAGTGATTATTTGTGTCATCTCATTTTTTCTTTCTTCCAGTACAGAATAGAGATAATCAAATTTTTCACACAGCTGCTCTTTCTGTCGTCTGCAGCATTCCTGTGAATCATTTGGTTTATGTTAAACATGTTATATTCTTAAAAGAGTTTCTATTTTTACAGTTACTTGGAAGCATTTTCATCAAAGAAATTCCTCTTTCTGAACAGTGCAAAGGATTCTGAATGACCCCAGAAACTTTTATAATTTTCAAAGTCCAAGCTATTGGAACAGAAGTTTAAAAACCGTTCTCAAACTCTGAGTTTCAAGCCACCAAAAGCCCCCAAACAGGTTATTGTATAACTTGTCAGTCTGCTAAAAAATTGTGAAAGGTATTTATGATGTCTGTAGTGACACATCAAAGTCTGCAGAAAAAGTAAAAACCCCCACCATATTAGCAGCTGGGTTCATTTGCACGAACAGAATGGGTTTTAAAGGAGCAATCATCTCAAATCAGCTCTGGAGAATTGTCTTTTTCTACTGGAGAACCTGGAACTATCCTGGCTGGGCTTGATTTTCACATACATCCTCTTAGACTCTATTTTGACAATAGGTGTCCATTACATTTTATTTATTTTGCACTGAACAAGGTAGAAGTACCACAAAGAAAATGGTGTGTGACAAAAGCACAAAGACAAGAAGGAGGAATCAGGTTCCAATCCTACCTTCAGGCACTGATTTTCACATCATTTTTTGAGACACTTTCATTGTCCTTCCAACCAGACAACACAGCATATTTCACTGAGTAAGGAGGCTGGGTTTGATGACTGCTTTACTGGGCGCTCTCTGACAAGAACAAGCCGCACTTGCAAGAGAGTATTTATGGGGAGGAAATCAGAGACAGGTTATCTGTAATGCCTGAGGTCTCCCAAATAGAAGTACTTGAGTCATCTGTGTGCCCTAGGGCACACAGAAGAGTGTAACTTTATTGTGGTTATATCTGGTTGTGAATGGTGTTGATTATTTAAATCTCTTTCCTATGAACTGAGGCTGAATCAATTCCTCATCTTCGTCCCTTGAGGCATGATGCTGAAATCCTGGCAGCACAGGATTATTAACAGTCCTACAGTACTTTTGGAAGTTACGAGACTGATTATTCACAGCACTTGGCCAGAGAGAATCCTACTTTTTTCTTGACTTTCAGCCAGAGCTCTTTCCAATGAGTGGAGAGAGTCTGCTCTGTATTGTTCAAAGGAGAAAGCTTTTTGAAGATGGGTGTGGCCAAAAATCACTGTCTACATTGAGGGGCAGGGAGTCAATATAGATCTTGTTGTATTGACCCAAGTATCTGCCTCTGCTTCCCAATGAGGAGGACTAGGCTAAACAGGCAATTCTAATTTAAAACTCCTTGAGGAGGGCAGGCTTTTGGAGGTCCTTGCTACTTCCTAGAAATTCTGGATTAGTGAATTACAGGGTGAGGATAAGGAAGCTTTCAAACCAAGTGAGTCGTGGCTCCTGGGTGTCATTCTATTGTTCAGACCTCAAATAATCCTCCTGTCTTCTTTCACTCCTCGACTAGCTTTCTCCTAGTGTTTCTTGCAGTTCCACTTGCTCCAGACTCGTCTTCAGTTTAGTCTACAATGACCTCCTCTGAAATGTCATTCAGATCATTTGTAGAACACCCTTAATTTCAAGACAGGTGTGTGCTATCTTTGCCATTTGACATAGGACAAGCATTAGGGGATGAAGAGCGAGACAGTGATAGCAGGGTGCTCTGAGAGATCCTTCCCTAGCTCTAAACTCTAATACATAATATTTCCTGCCAGCAGGTATTACTGAGTTGTGAACCTCGAGAGGGAGAGTGCAAAACAGGTTCCTAACTGCAAATGCTGAAATATTTCTGGAATACTCTCTTTCTGTATAAAATGTTCCACATGAAGTCTTTGGCTGATAGAATTACCCTAATCAGATTCTGAGTAATGAGAAAGGTTAACAAATACACAACTTCCCATTCTAAAAAGTTCTCAGCCTTTTTGTTGTTTAAAGCATGGCTTCAGCAAAAAGAAAGGAGTCCTTGCCACTGAGCATGAGTTGCACTGCTTGTTCTGAAGTGTCTGTGTTGACTGGACTATGCTATTGGCATTTGAAAGAATCACCGTAATTTTCCTTTGTTATTTGACTCATATTGTTCGCAGGGCTAACCAGTACTTAATTATTTATTATTGTTTTCCAGTATTTAGCATTTTATATTCCTTTTTCTTTTTTTAATTTTCAATATAGTATGTGAATTTTGTCTACCTTTCAATCAGCTAAAAGCTGTATAAGTGTTAATCATTTTTTTTTGTTTGTTTTTCTGCTTTTTAGGCTTGAATAGGAGCAATAGCCAAATAGAGAACTGCAGGCTATTGCTTACTCCATCTAAAAGGAAAATAATCATGTGTTTTCTGCTAAAGCAGATATTTATTGTTCTCTGCACAGTGTTAAGCAGAAAGAAGAGACAATCCTGGATTTGAAAGTGTTATTTCCATGTATGCAGATTTCTCATCTCCAGTTGTAGCTTTTCACCTTCAAGGACAAACTGATGTCAGTTCAGACAAAGCTCTTGTATGGTAGGAAATGTGATTCGCTTGAAATGTAACATGGAAGTGCCAAGGTAAGCTCTAAGATCTATTTTGTGCAATCTTTGACTATAAAGGTGAAAAGCCTGTTAAAACATCTGAAGGTAAAATGGCTGCACTTTCTTTGGGCTTCGAGTTTAAAGGTTAGACTTTAAACTGAGTGGATGACTCTGAGGAAGCTAGTTTCAGAAACTGTTGTATTTATTATGGTATTTTTAGCACAGTGTTTTCTCCATACTTCAGACTAGATGTTTGAAGTTTTGTTTCTGGTTCAGCTAGTTCAACTTAAATGAGTATAAGCTTCTCTTTTGTATCATTCAAATTTCTGCAGTTAACCTACTTGAAAGGCATGTTTCTGTCTGCAAAGTCCTGATAGCAGCCAATTTTATCCTTGCGATGCGAAGGCTTCCTGACTACAAAGTTCCAACGGCCGCTAACGCTCTCTCTCATTTATTTGGGCTAATGGTTTTATGTTCTTTGAACCAAACTTGGACATTTTCTGTTCCTCCATGCTCTGAGGAAATAGGAGCCTTGGGCAATTGTGTATGTAGATTATGAAATCAATTTTTCTTACCAATTAGAATCTATACACCTTGGATTAACTTCTTTTTTCCTTCAGTTTCTCTTTTCTGCTCCAGCTCTGAATGGTCAGTATAATTCTAATTGGGCTGAGAGGGATTCAGCTCCTTCACTAGATGCTTCATCAAACTCTGATCATAAAATCAATTCATATGAGCTCCTTTCAGCCTGTTGCTCTGTGTTGCTCATGCTGGTCAGAACTGATACTTGTATTTGCTTTGCTGTACAAACCTCTTGGAGGAAATGAAAGCCACTTCTGGTACTGAACAACACAAAACTAATACCAGCTCTCAGAGCAAGACCTTTACCCGAAAATCCAGACTCGCAGTAAGAATCCAAACTCTTCCCTCTAAAAACCAACAAGACTCCTTAAAGGGCAACATAAGTATGTTAAATAAGTATTTCCGCACAGGAGGTGAAGCAACAAAATACAGATCTCATTGACATACTTGAGAGCTATGCTGTGGCTACGCTGTGGCTGAGACTTAGGCTTTGTTCACAGGACCAGTCAGGCCTTAGACTAATACTGGTCTTTTACAGCTTTATCACCTGATCTTAGATGTTAAATGAACGGGGAGTTGACAGCATTTTGTTGGATCTGCTTTTAACTTCAGTGATATCCTATGCAACTAAAAATGCTGAGCAAGACGTGCTGATACGGATTATCCTTACTCTTTGTCCTCAACCATGTGGCCAATGTCAGAGGCAGGGTGCCGAGCAGGACGTATCCTTTGGTTGAGGCAGTACAGCTGATACTCTGCAAAGCCATAGGTAACAGCTTAGCAAAATGATGTGGGAAGACATTTGGGTAAAGTGAGGCCTGTTAAAGAATGATCATTACCAGCAGTTTAAAAAATATGACTTCACACTGAAATAATCTGCGTTTAAAGGGGTAGTACCTACCTCAACTGTCTTGCAGGTCTCCTCCAGCTGTGTGACTATCCCTTGCACTCTGTCGTTGCTCCCCACCAGCACTGCAATGCCATCACTCAGCTCAGACTGGGCAGTAAGGACAGAACAAGCAGGAGGGGTTAGATACTGTTCCACTTCAGGGTGACACATCTAACTGTCGGGAGCAGGGGACAAATGAGCCATACCAGGGTATTAGCTCTTCTTTCCATCAGAACCGAGGAAAATTGGAGCTTTACCTGCCCACAAGTTACCCACTAGTATTTTGACATTTTTTTCCTCTTCCAAAATGCTGTTAAACCAATGACATTTTGAACCTTTTTATGGAGAAGAAACTGTGGTTTGGAAAGGAGGAAGCACTTTGTTCTAGGAGGCTCTTCTAGATGCTTTTGTCTGAAGCGCTATATTTCAATAGCCCCAAAATATTCCTTTTGGGTTTGTTGAGAGAAAAGACTCTGTCTCTTGAGGGGTTGTATTTTTTAGTGTCTGGGTCTCGCCACGCCACTGTGGTATTTCTCTGAGGACTGTAGCTCTTGGCTCTGGAGGGGAGAAGAGGTGGCCCATGGACCTGGAGGGACCAGGGCACTACAGGGCCTCTGGCATGAGGGCTGGGGTGTGGTGAGAGGAGAAGGGAGAAAAGGGGGAGGAGAACATGGAGGCTGAGCCACTGGCACAAGGGAAACAAGTGGAAGAAGGAAATGACCTGAACGTGGGGAGGGAGATGACTGTGAGGTATCCTTAGAAGAGGAGAGACAGAGAAGCTAGTCCCTAGGGAACTTGGTGAGGGTGCTGGGATGAGGGGCCCTTGGCACACCACTGTAGAGACAGAGGTGACCATGCCCATGGCCTCCATGGCTTTGTAAAGGATCCTTTGAAGCACGCATCCTGCAGCCTCCAGATCCACCTCCAGTCTTGGGTGCAACAGCCCCTTTCCACAGGCACTCTAGGAAGGAAACTGCTGCTTGCAAATCCCCACGCGAAGAGTGGTCAGGGGCATGGATTTGGTCCAAGAAACTTCTTCCCTTCTCCCTTCCTTTTTGTTTGAAAAGGATGTTTGTAACTACTTTCCTAAAGCGACTTCTCATTTGTAGTTTCCACACACAAGCATCTGTGTGACAAAGTTGGAGGCTGGGATTGCAAGCTTGGCCTGTCTGATTGCTTGCCCCACTGGGGCCCTCCAGAAAAATGAGCTGTTTATCTCAGGAGGATAACCCAGTGAGTCAGGTTTTAAATTAATACTGTATTAAAAATAAACAAGTCTTTTACTGGTGACAGCAAGGGCAGAGGATGTTAGGTACATCCTGTGCTGCCAACTATTGAATATTTCTGCATTCACTTGCAGGAGGAGATTTTTCACTTAACTTTTAAAAATGGGATGCTTAAAGGCTAAAGTGCCTGATAGATAACTATTTGATTTGTAATTGTCTATTCTCTTTCCAGTTCATGGGTTGTTTTTCTGATCTAAAAGCATTGAAAAAAGAGATTAGTAACCTCGAAAGAGAGATCCTTAGCTTACCATCAAATTGCTGTCTAAAATGTTTACTCACTATACTAACAAAAATTGGGACACTGTAATATCTTTCTGTGTGATTTCTCGTAACTTTATTTTCCTGTGTTTCTAAACAGGTCCTACAGGTTTGGGTGAGCCTTTCACTCATGCACAGGAGTAACAAAGGCACCCCAGACCGCTTTGGAAACTCGCAGGAAGCCCATGGGAATGCTTTCTGTTGATAGTCCTGTCATTCGCTGAGAGAACTATGAGCTACAAAAAGATATTTACCTTCTGTCGCTGGTAGACATTTGTGAGAGGAGCAACTTGACAGTCTTTGTGGGCACCAAAGACTTTGCACAAGGAGCAGGTGGGCATTTCACAGTTCAAACAATAGATGTTAATTCTCTCATCTTCGTGCTCTTCGCACATTGGCTGGTCACACTTCCTTTCGGGTCTGCAAAAGAAAACAAGTTTAAAACAAACTTGGTGCTCATGAGTCTCTGATGACAACACTTAGGGTATCAGCATGAAGTAGGGTGTATTTGTACAGTAGTGTCTAAGGCTGACCTGAATATGCAGCATAGACTTAAACCTACCACACAGAATGACTAAATAGACAGCGGTACAGCTTAATGTCCTGACACAACAGGATATGATGACAATATAGCAACATGACTTCATATGGGGATTCCAGCCGGGAGTGTGACTGAACCCTCGCTCATATTTAAAAATGTGAATAACCTCACTAAGACCGATCTCAGACTACTTGTGTACTTTAATTAGCATGTTATCCAACATTCGTCCGAAATGTGAAACACGTGTAATGCCTTTGGAGTTCATCACGCAAAACATTGGGCACTTGGCCTTAATGCAGCAAAGCTCTTATTCAGGAGGCTGATTCAAAGTGAGAGTTGTAGGTATTGGTGGACTTATCATTGGAGATACCTTCTGTATCTCTGCCAATGAGCTTTGTGAGGCCCAGGTTGGGACGGTCAATATCAAACACAAGTATGTCTTTATGGCCTTTACACTAGGCCAGTAACCAAAATAAGGTCTCACACGAATTAATTTTAGCTGGGTGGCAGGTGTCTAGTTTGTGAAGTGTTGGACTTTTTAACAGTAGCTACTTAATTGTACCAGCCACTAGGGGCATGGGTTACACAAGAAGCGTTCCTCTCCTGTGCTAAGCCAGGAGCTGTCACCAGACTGTAGCTCAGTCCTGATCTTCTCTTCACCAAAATGATTTAGCCCTACACACACAACTCAATCCCTGCTATTTTAGGAACTAATTTAGTTGTAGCTTCCTTTAAGTGAGCCACTTAACCCACATTCCCAGTGTAAGTGAAAGCTCTGGTCCAGTCGGCGTGGGTAGGCTGATGCTTTTCTGAGCCCACACTTCAGGCTTAGCACCCTGAGCACGTCTGCGGCAAGCACGTGAGTGTGTGAGGATGTGGTACTGAAGCACAGAGTTAGTGGACCAATGAAGGGAGTGTGTCTGGGGGTTCAAGCCTCCAAAGGTCGCCACTCCTACTGTGGCAACATTAAATCTTTCCAATATAAGCCATTACTCCCTTCTGCTACCATTTGGAAGGAGAACTATGACTATGACCAGTAGCAAGTGGAGCAATGGGATCACAGACATGTATTTTTTCATCAGATAGAAAATACTTTCCAAAACTATAGAAGTTAATGAAATTAAATGACAAAAATTTTCTAAAAAACATTGTACAGAGCTTCACAGCAAGGAGGCAACCAGTTATTCTATTACGAGTTTAAAAAAGAAAATACTTTCCAAAACTATAGAAGTTAATGGAATTAAATGACAACAATTTTCTAAAAAACATTCTACAGAGCTTCACAGCAAGGAGGCAACCGGTTATTCTATTACGAGTTTAAAAATTTGTGAAAAGTTCATTGTTTTAGATTATATTACAACAGAGTTTTTCCATACAGTTTGGTAAAGTGGCCATGGCATTTATTTTTTAATGACAAAGTACAGGTTTTCTCTTCTGAAGGGAATGGAAAGTGAACAGTTAGATGCATTTAAAAAGAGATCAAGCAACAAAGAAAATGTCTCATGCATTCATATTTTTTAACTTCAAGAGGGCACTGGCATTTAAAGGGTTCACAAGGAAAATCTGTAATATAAGACCATATACCAGAATAAAACACGACGGACACTTCTGAAGGAAGCCTGTATTATTTGGGCCAGATTTCCAGCATACATTTACATAAAGCCCTCAGCGTGTCAAATCCAGTGTCATTTCAATGCTAGTCAAAAGAGATGTGTCTTCACTATAGGGAATGCTTTACATTGTTTGCAGATGACTGCAAACAGCCCCTACTATATTCATGTTATAGTGCACCAGTGGGAGGCCCTGCATGCGAGGGAAATAACAGACAATGAATTTCAAAGTGATTAATTAAGCCTGAAATAGCTGCTCTTCCTGCAAATATTTACAAGACCAGAACCAGAAACTACTAGAATGTTATTTGACACTGGAATGGTGCCACTAGCATGAAAGACACATCGCACGGGGCAAAAAGGCGATGGCGTCAAGCAAGTTCAGCCAGGAGCAGTCAACCTTCAAAGGTGCCGCAAAGAGCTGGAAGAAACCTGGCAGAACTCCCTGAACTAGCGGGGCCCCAAAGACACTGACAGGAGACTAGAAGTAAACAGATCTACAGTCTCCTTCCTAGGCTGTGCAAAAGGAGAGATTTTTAGCACAACATTCCCTGGAGCAGAGGGGATCCTCTAGGTTTGTGTTGATGTAGCAAAGGCCAAAACACAACCTCTAGTTTTAAAATGGTGGCTGCTCCTAAAACAGGAGGTTAAAGAGCAGCCTATAGGAAAGTGACAGCATGGCTTTAGCAGAAGAAAAGACTCATAACAGATGTGCTTGTGACCAAAGAAGCGGCAGGTTGCTGAAGTGTTATTTTCTCATTCTGCTCTTTGAAATGCTAAGCCTGTCTTTGACTGCTACAGGCTTATTCTTTTCCATTAAAATTGGGTTTGGACCTTAATGCGCAGAGTGTTGCACATGTTTTATGAAGGGGAGGATTCTCAGCACTGGTAAGGCCAGACTTGGAAGACTGGGTACAGTTCTGGGCTCCCCAGTACACGAAAGATATGGACATACTGGAGAGAGCTCAGCAAAGGGCCCTAAAGATGATTAAGGGTCTAAAGCATTTCTCCTGTGAGGAAGAGCTGAGAGCGCTGAGACTTTCAGCCTGGATAAGAGAAGGTTCAGGGGGATCTTAACAGTGACCTTGATCTTATCAATACCTTCAGGCATCTAAATACCTGAGAGGATGGAGCCAGGCTCTTTTCAGTGACTCCCTGTGACAGGGTCTGAGGCAATGGACACAAACTGAAATACAGGAGGTTGTCTCTGAACATCAGGAAACACTTTTTCACTGTGAGCTTGACTAAGCACTAGCACAGGTTTCCCAGAGAGGTTGTGGTGTCTCCTTTCTTGGAGATACTCAAAAGCCATCTGGACATGGTCCTGGGCAACCGGCTCTGGGTGGCCCTGCTTGAGCAGGGAGTTTGGATCAGATGCCCTCCAGAGGTCCTGTTCAATCTCAGCCATCCTGTAATTCTGTGATTTGGTGAAGAAATGCAAAGTTGCTGGGCACACGATGGAGCACACTTTAATTAAGGACATAGTAAGACCTTAGGAAACCTGCTGTTTAGTTACAAGGCACGTTTTCCGTAGGATTTTTATAAATCTAAAAAGGTTTCTACTGAAATCCTGAATCCAACTTTGACAGTGTTTTTAATGAAGACTCTAAGGTAGCTGTAGCCCTTGCTGTACCCAGTGCCTGCACCTGGTCAAGGGATGGAGAGAATCTGCAGGACTGCATGAGGCACAGTCAGGTCATTAGTGAAAATACGAAACTGTATTGGCCCCAGTCTCGGAAATACATCACTAATGACTAGCCTCCACCTGACTTCATGCTGCTCACCATGACCCTTTGAGTTTGGCTGTTCAGCCAGTTTTCAGCCCACTTCACTTTCCATTGTCCACTCTAGACCTCATTTCATCAGTTTGTCGATAAAGATGTTACAGGAGACAGTGTCGAAAGTCTAGATAAACAACATCCACTGCTTTCCTGTCATTCATTGAGTTAAGTCATCTCACTATAAAAGGCTACCAGGTTGGTCAGGCATGATTCCCCCTTCATAAATCCATGCTGACTATTTCTAATCACCCTCTTGTCTTCTGTATGTTTGAAAATGTTTTCCAGGACTGTTTGCTTGAACAACTTTCCAGGGACCAGTGTGAGGATACACTACAAGCCTGTGGTTCCCTGGATTCTCCTCCTTGCACTTCTTGAAGATTGAAGTAACATTTGTTTTCTTCCAGTCCTCAGGAACCTATCCCGATTAGCAAGATCTTTCAAAGATTATTGAGAGTGGCCTTGCAATGACATCAGCCATCTCCCTCACCACTCATTGGTGCCTCCCATCAGGATGTCCATTTTTTTTTTAATATTCCCTAGCCTGATCCCCTCCACCAGAGGTAGGTCTTCCTTGCTCTAGACTTTCCCTCTACTCTCAGGGACCTGGAATTCCTGAAGACTGTACTTACCAGTAAAGACTGAGGTGAAGGCAGCATTGAGCACCTTGGCCTTTTCTATGTCCTTTGTCGTAGGAGTCCCAGCTCCATTTAGCAGTGGACCCACATTTTCCTCAATCTTCCTTTTGCTGCTGATGCACCTGTAGAAGCTCTTGTCAGCCTTCATGTCCCTTGCCAGATTCAGTTCCAGGTGGGCTTTGGCTTTCCTAACTCCATCTGTACATGCTTGGACAGTGTCTCAAAATAATCCTGAGTCACCTGTCCACCTTCTTTTTGCATCTTTCTTAGTATTTGATTTTTATTAGGAGCTCTCTGTAGTATCCTGCCACCATTGCTTGAGTTCCTGTATATGGGAGTGGACCGTTTTTGAGCTTGGAGGAGGTGGTCCTTGAAAATCAACCACAATGATGGACTCTCCCAAAACAGTGAAAAGCCCATCAACATCCGGGGTAGAAATGGGGCTTGAAAAATGAGAAGACCAAAAAAGTTGATATGGATATAGAGATTCCTGCAGCTTCGTTACACTAGTACTATCATGAATGCCTGGCCTAAGAAAATCATTGGCACAGGTAAACATGTGGCTTTGTCTCCATGGGGAGTTGGAGAAGATCCAGGTGATCTCTCTCCTCATCTCTTTCATTGCACAGTCTGTGGGGCTTCTCCTGCAGCTGCCTTGCTTAGCGATCTGTGAGCAGGGAGCCCATCTCCCTGGCCCAGCCTCTCTGAGATCCCCAGGCACCCCTGCAACCCATGGTGGAGAGCCACATCCTCCCTTCAGAGCTCTGGCTGAGGCCTCTGAGGTGTCAGAGATAACTGCTTCTGGTGGTGTTGGCTACCCTGTCCTGCAGAACATCACCACTGTCACAGAGCCCACGCACGCTGCTCTCAGCACAGTACCTGGTGCCTGCTGTGCACGCTGCTGCACACAGCGCTCCATCAGTGCTTGGGGCTGCAGGGACAGCCTGTACCCAGGGCTCTCCTTGGTAGGTGCAAGGCACAAAGAGTGCTCAACCCTCCCTGGTCAGGATTCAGCTGCTAACAAAGCCCAAAGCACCTTTTGATCAGGAATAGCCGGGTGAGGTCATTAGAGGCTGCCAGAGCTTGCGAGAAGTCACAGCCTCCTGTTGCTACCCTTTCCTGGTGGCAGCAGGCACCCTGATGTTCCTCAGATAGTTCAGGTAATCAGTGGCCTACAGACTTTCAAACATTAGTTTAATATTTTAGCTAACTCTGTTTCCACTGGTTTCAGTCCTTTGCCCTCCTTTAAAGCTTTGTAGGAGCCACGTCCTGCTGTAAGTTTTCTTTCCTTGTGTTGCTAATAGATTCTAAATTGGGTAACAGGCTACGCTGCCATCAGCTGGAATTTGATGAGCAATGTGATAAAAGACATATGATGTGATTTTTAGTAACAGGAGGGGCTGCATGTGAAGCCTTGGGCAGACCCTCCCAACTTCCCTCCCTCCCTTCTCAGCTGCTGCTGAGAAAAAAAAAAAAAAAAATCCAATTCATTAATTCATATAGAAATTCAAATTTGAAAAAAAAAATTGAAATAAATTATTTTTGCCTAAGCAGGAGATAAAGCTTGTTTCCTAGCTGAATTCCCCTCACTCTCCTAAGTTCATGTGAAATGCGGCTGGGAGCTGGTGTTATTCTAGCACATGCAGTTATGGTGAATTATACCCACAGGAGAACTCAGGGGAAGAGGCTCCTGTCTGGAAATCACAGGAGCTGCCAGTTTGAAGGCTTGTCTTGGGAAGAAACAAAGAGACGAAGGTCATATCTCACTCTTCCTCTTGTGTACCTCTGCCAGACCCCAGCCCTCACTTTGGAAGAGATTGGTACAAAAGAAAGAAGTGGAGAAAACTTGATTTCCCTTGACTTTTTGGTTTCGGTGAGACAGCAAAGGGTAAAGCCATGGCAGATCTTGCTCACACTCTCATGGGAGCCTGAGGAATGTTAGACGGAGGGAGATAAGCAGCTGAGGCCTACAAAGTGCCAAATAGTTTAGATAATGCTGCTATGCATTGCCCTAACCCTGATGATAGCTTTCATTCTAAGGACATACATGAAGGTTAAATTAGCACATTAACAGACTAAATAAATGAACCTTGTGAACAAATACCTAAGCAAACATATGTTCTTTTTTTTTTTTTTTCCTCTCTGTTCTCCCTTTTTATTCATCACATTGTGTTTAACTTTTGTGGAGTGTAAAAAATGGATCTGCTAAATCTCTTGCATTTCTGTTTAACTGAAGTTTGTTCCACTTGCCCATGAACTACAGGGGAAAAGGAGATGCATTTCTTTATTTTTTAAGTTAAATACAACTCTGAGCTGACGAAAAAGATAAGGCAGATATGAGGCCACACATGTCCAGCTTATTTGGTCAAAAGCAAAGTCCACTACTGTAGCTTTGCTGATTCATTTCCTCCGAGATTTTCCTGACTAAAATAATATTTGGGTATCAATGACACACACAAGGGCAGCTGACCTTCTCTTGGCACTGAGTGTGAAGGGCAGCAGAAAGGACAATTTTAAGCCAGCTTTGTGCTCTCTGACACTTTGGAGCTCCAACCTATGCTCAGCTACAACAGTCCTCAAAGGGATTCAAACAGCTGAGAATAGCCAAAGCCACTGCTGGGCTCCAGAATGTCCTCTCTGCTGGTGACTGTCCTCCTCTGCTGGAGGAGAGTAGCAGTGCCGTAAGCCATCCCAGGCACTGGGCTCCAATGGTTGTGTTCACCTGCTCCAGTGATACCACCTCATTGTCCCTGCGAAACCCAGCTCCTGTTGAGGTGGGATGGGAAGACTGTCAGGGATCGTGGCCAGGATCAAACACCTTCTTTCAGGTGTACAAAACACCCTGCCTACAAAACCCGCCCTACGGATGCACCCTAGTGACAACAGGTGCCTTCCCTGGGCAAGAGCTGCTTGTTTGGTGGCCCGGGGCCAGGCTTAGCTTCCCCTCTGCTATATTCCCCACAGGGGCATCATGCTTCTGACTCATTCCAAAGCAAGAGAGACAAGAACAAAGCATTTTTCTACTGCTGGATCCATTACACACCTGATGCAGGCTACTCCTTCTCTTTTATGGATTCCTAAATAAGATTTTATATCATGAGTTCACATCCCCAGCTGATAGGAATGCAGATTTTTTTTTTAATTGAGTTTTATTTTGACATCATGATGCAGGGTATCTTCTGTGTGAAATTCAGTTTTCTTCTTGTTTGTGCTGTCTGTCCCTCAAGATTTTCTAAAAAGATTTGAAATTTCTTTCCCTTCTTTAGCATGGGAGCATACAAGTTAAAGGCAAATAAGAATCATCTGAACTGTTTTTAAAATAAATGATGTGAACCTAGCTACTGTTCCCTTATTCATGTAAATAACCATGCTGACCTCAAGGGCTTTGCGTGCATGAGTAAGTGTTGCTCATGTGAATACACACGGCACAATCTTCTGCTGTAAGTGGAAGCAGGGAAATTTGGCATCTATTTGGATACGGTTCTCTGTGCTTAGTGAGAGCTGATTTCATCGCACAGCAAACAGGCAGACATGCATGGCAGCACGATCCCTTTCCACATTTCCAAGAGAGAAATCAACCTCACGTGTGCCAAAACGGAAAGACTAAAGGCCACCGGTCTCCTAAGCCACGTCTGCTTTTTTGGCAAACCTCCTCCGAAGGGCACGCGTTCGCTCGTTACCTTGTGGACTCCTGCTTGTAGATGTCGATGATGTTCTCCACCAGCAGGTTCCTCTGCAGCCCGTAGACGCCGTGCCGGTCGAGGACCACTTCATGCCTGCAGGAGGGACAGCGGAAGCGGCCTCCAGACGCCACGGCTGTGCCTCCCCGGGTCGGCAGGTAGGGGTTGGAGGCCTGCTCTTGCCCAGCGGCACAGGGAGAGGTGGGTCAGGCCATGTGAAACCACGAAAAACCCCTTTCAAAAGCACCGGGGCAAAAACATGCTTGTGGCAAACCATTTGTCAGCGTGCCCGAGGAGAGGGTAGGTCCGACACGCCGCCCCCGGGACAGCGCCTGGCGACTGCAGGGCGAGGGGCCAGTTCCCGGCTCACGCAGGCGGCCATGGCCCCGCAGCAACAGGTGACACTGTCATCTGCTGCGGGCTCAGCCCCGGACCCCAGGGACACCCAGCTTCTGCTTTAAATCACTCGCCCCAGGCCTTACCGACTGTTAAAAGCAATTCACTGGGTGCTTCTCCACTAATTTCAGCCAGTGCCGCTCAGGAAGCAGAGCTTTCCACAGGAAGGAACCTACCTGGAAAATGTCGCTGGCACATTTCCGGCAGAGGTTGTGCTGACAGGGCAGGATGACCACCGGCTTGGTGAACATCTCCAGGCAGATGGGGCAAATCAGCTGCTTCTCCAGGTTATCCATGGTTTGCTGCTCTTTGGAGAAGGACTTGTAGTTCAGGGAGGTGCTCATCCCTAGCTTTTCCAGGGGCATGCGCTCAGGATCGCGGCCTCGTGGAGGGGTTTCCCTTGAAATAAGTCCAAGGCTGTGCTGCGATCAGAGGCTGTCTGGGTGGCTGTGGCCGGAGGACATTGTTTGAACGGGGGGCCGAAGGGAGGAGCGGGGGCTGTTTTTAGCAGCGCGGCGTCACGGGGTGCCGCCCCGCCATGCCCATATAAGCGCGGAGAGAAGGACAGGCCGGGACAGGTGGTGGATGGGGGGAATGAGGCGGGGGGGCGGCGGGGCCCTGCGCACGTGGCACCCTTCGCCCCTTGAGGAGGAGGGCAGCGATAAGCAGATGCCATCCGCTCCCCTCCTTATCTCTGCGCGGCGGCGGAGAGCGTAGGGCTGCCGCGGTCTGCCCAGCTGCACGCCGCAGCCTCATGAACGCTCCATTTTGAGCAAGCGGCCGTGGCTGTGAGCTGCAGGGTGTGATCTTGCCCGCATGTTTCAGGAGGCTCCAGGATCTTGCCTTTCCAAGGAGTGGAGCACACACGGTTGCTGGAGAAGACAACAGGAGCATTGGCTGCACCGGAGCTCAGGCACTTCAGGGCATAAACATGTCACCACCTTGAAAACCAGTTAAAAAAAAATGCCTGCCTATAACCGTGCTTAAGTTTCTTCTGGTATGATTTTTTTTTTCTGGGAGGGAGCTGTAACATAAGAATCTAACACAACTATTCAAGCCATGAACTTCACAGCAGCTTAAATATGCATTAAAAACGTTATTTGAATTTCCTGATGAGAAAGAGACAGAAGAAATACAGTATGAAAAGCTTTCATTTGTACTGCTAGAGAATAGGTGCTAATTGTGTATGCTCTCTCTCCACATAGTTTAATTCAAATACATTTTAGTTTTGGGCACTGCTGTGTTTATATCTGTTTATTAGACACTGAGATCTCTCTCAGCTTGGCACTTGTTCCAGAGTTATTTTTAAAATGACAATTTCCCAGATAATTTGTGGCATGTGATGCTTGATCTTCAGGGAAAGCCATCTGTGCTTCTACTTGCCAATAATTTATCGCACAACTGTACAAGCAATAAATATCTCATCCTCAAATTTAAGCCAAAGTCCCTACATGTACTGTATAAAATCACTTTGCCACTGTACTGTACATGTAATCAGAATATTGTCTTCTCTTTTAATCAATGACTACAATACTTTCTCTGTTAAGTGTCTCATAGAAAGCTCTCATGTTTATTCTACCTCATGCCTGTATAGAGGTTGCATCTGAAATATGCTATACAGCAGCTGAGTGAGTCCCCTGTGCATCCAGGGGCAGTCCCCAACTCCGAAGCGGGGCCCTTTATCTGCATGCAAGACCAGTCTGGCAACTGTGCACTTCAGGGAAATAGAAAAGTGAAGGTTTTCATTATTTCCGCATGAAAATGAATACTATTCTCTGCAATGGCAATGAATCACATTAAATTATATGCATTATTGACTATCGTATTTTCAATGCCTTGCACACTTTTTAAGTGTTTAGGTGAAGTCCTGTACCCCTTTGCAGCCCACCAAGCTGGAATTTCCCCTACATAAACATACTTATTTGTCAAAAGTCACATAAAAACAAATAGATTTTTCTGAAGTCTTGCATTCATGGGAAATTTGTGGTAGCTTTGTTAAACCCGTCTGAAATCACACCTTCGCTTCAACTGCCTGGTGCAGACGAGAGCCTGGAGCCGAGTGGGAGAAGCTGCTCCGGCAGCTGAGCCGCGGACAGCTGGGGCTTTGGCAGGGCCGGCGGGGAGCCTTTCCTGGCAACAGCGAGAAGATATTTCTCTTCTTGCCCTCCCCTCCATGGCCAGGTCAGAGGTGACTTTCGCATCTGGAGGAATTTGAACGCCTCCTTCCTACCCTCCAACTCTGAGTCAGCTGCCTCTTGCGCATCAAAACCTGCTTTAATAAGGGGCATTGAACCAGATGAGGAAAGCCGTCCTCGCCTGGTGAGGCAGGCGTTTCCATCTTGCTGCACAGGAAGAAACAGAAATTCTGGGAGGAAAAGCAGAAGGTTAGAAATGTCAGTGCACAAAAACATCTGCATATGGTGATGTAGGGAAGGGGTGTTCACAGCATGGAAAAAAGCTGGGGGATCGTGCTGCTATGTCAGCCCTTTGGACAAGGAACTGAGGCACCTCTCAGGGTGTAAAGTGCCTCTGGGATGTAATTGTGGTGAATTTATATCTACCTGTGGTAGCCCACAAAAGCCTTCTGTTAACAGGCTGAGCATGACACTTGATGCATCTGCAGAGGACATCTGATGGCAACAAGGTGAGGGACAGTCTGCTGCAGGTTTTCCCCTTTCTGTGTGCTGAAGCACACTGACACGGAGCAGATAATAAACAGCACAACTACAACAAAGAGCCAACAAAACAAAGATAAACCCACCTCCTGCAGGCCTAAGCTGAGGTATTTTTCTGGCAGGAATATGTAGTTCAGAAAAGAGAAAAATTAGCAGAGGTTTTTCTGTCAAAGTATTACGAACTACAGCAGTGATTGCTAGGTAAAGAAACGCAGAGGCTTGGCTGCGCTTCCGAAGGCTGCATGAGAAGTGCCAGGAAAGCCACGCGTTGTACAACTGTGCTGCACAAGGTGGAAGAGAAGAGCAAAGCCCAAAAGGCTGCAGAGCCATGGGACAGTCCTGCAGCCGGTCTTCAGCAGGGATCGCTTAGGCTGGACTTCGAAGGACTCACACTGAGAAAGAGCCCAGCACCCTCCTGTCTCTCCCTGGTAGCCCTGTCACCCTCCTCTTCCTCCCCTTCCACACCCACAAACTGTCCACCTCCAAAGAGCCAGCAAGCCAAGCCATCTCTTAAGAGACTAACAAAGGGCAAGAGGACCTGGTTTAACCCTGCTCCTGGACAGAAACTCAGGATGTCTTCCAGCCATCACTGAGAAGAAAATATCACTTTTTAAATCATATTTTTTTGCAGTATTGCTTACTTGGGAATGTTATCTGGCTTTGTTGACACAACCAGAACACTAGTTCCTCAAGATACGCTTGCTTTTACAGACATTGCTTCTAACTCCTCTGTTTTTGCAGCCGAATAACAGCTTGTGGGCTGTGGACTGATGGCCAGGAGAGCCTGGAAGGCTGGCTGCAAAGCAGTGGGTTTAGGAGAGGGATTTGGAGGAGGAAGGAGAGGTTGAGTGATGTCTAGGTTCAGGTTTCAACGCCATAATGACATCCCTGGCTTTTGCATTCACAGAATTCCCCTCTGCAACCTCTTATCTTGTACCAGTGCTGTGAAGCTCTCATGTGTCAGTCACAGAAGATCTGCCCTGTGGCTCTCTTACATGACTGGAAATCAAAGAGAAAAAGCATATTTTTGCCAGATGATAACTCCCTCGTGAATTACCTCCCCACTGAGCCCAGCAGAGACAAAGCCCACTCTGCAAGCACCAGGCTCCTTGGCCAGGCATCATCACCCGGACATGGTGAGTGGCATGGAGCATCCCGGTCCATAGGGCGACAGTGCCCTGGCCTGCCACCATCCCACCTCCTGCCTGTCCTTGGGGACAAGCAAGCCCCCTGCCCCCCAGCCAGCCCCTCCACTAGCAGCTGTCCTCCTCCTGCCCTGGCCAAAGCCCAAAGCAGATGCGCAGCTGCCCATCATCCCCTGGGCAGCAATTGACACCCGGTCCCACCTCGCTGCCCCCAGCAGCTCCCTGAGATCCCGAGGCCGGAAGGACTCACCCAAGGGCTTTGTGTGAGAGCTCAGCTGCTGGAAGAGGACAGGGCTAGCAGGCACCCTTGCGGGGCAAGAGAGGGGAGCAGCCACCACCACTGCACGGAGGGACTCCTGGACCCACTTGCCCGTTCCCCCACTCAGCTTTGCCCTGCTTTGCTCACCTCTGGTGAGAAGTCCTGACTGCCCGAGCAATACAACATCCTAACAAAAATGAGGCTGCTGCCTCCACTTCTGCCCACTGGAATGTCAGATTTAGAGGAAAATGACAATGTGGCCTCCACTTCTGCCCATCCTGCTAAGTCTGCTTGCTGTTTCGGCTGCAAATATTTGCATTTTCAGCCAAGCATCCCTCGGGGAGGTAGGGGGGAAGCTCTCCATCCATCTCACCTTTCGTCTGTGCCCATCTACCCTGCAGTGAGCCGTCCTCAGCAGCGGATGGTGAGCACCAGCATTCCCACCTACAGCTGGCATGTTGCAGAAACTCAAATTTCACTTACATTTGCAATAACTTACTAAGCAGATGAGCCAGCTATAAGATGAAGCCCTCCTACCTATACAAGTGCAAACTGCAAACAGTATCTTGCATTTCATGATTTTATTGTGATTGCTAAACATCCCACGATAAATACCAAAACTACACTTGTGCGTGACTCAATTTATGCAGCAAAAGAGCCTTTGCAACAGAGACAAGTGCTTTCAAAAACATTTTTGAGACAGACATTTTTCCACTCAACATATATATTTGTCTTCGTGTACCTCATATGTGATGATAGGCCATATGCAGTCAGTGTTTGGAGACCTTCTAAAAACAATGTGAAAGACAGTTTCAGATCTCCAGGAAAACAAGGTCCAGCACAGGAGATAACAACATCTTTCAAAATATCCTTTTGCACATACAAAATCACAGCAGCACGGGCAAGCTCAAATAATTTCTAAGGGTGAGTCACTGGGAGCACATCAAACATGCAGGAGCGCATAGGATTTCAGGGACAAGCTACAAAGACCAGTCAGAGGGATGATGTCTGCCCTTTTCTTTCGAATAGAGGATGGACACTGACCTGAGCTGAATTGTGCTCGAAAGCAGCCTTCACTGGGCTTATCCATGCTCAAGGAGCTTCCATGGTTTGCAGCAAACAAAGAGAAACATGGGATTAAAGGGCAGATGAACTAGATTATAATTTCTGTTCCAGACTCATCAGCAGTACCAACATAAATTATAGCAGACAAACCTCAGAGATTGGATCAAAAGACCTTGAAACAGGGAGAGCCTATGGATGAACTCCATCAGGGACTCACACCCTCATGCTGTGGCTCTGCCAGTGGCAGGACACCAAGCCATGGGGTCACTGCTCCTGGCCTGGGAGAAGGAGGGTCCTGT